CTTATGTTCAAACAAAACTGATTTAAAGTAGAACAGTTATACAAAAAGGCCAATAGGATTACTAGAGGCTGGTACGTATGGAAGAATGCATGTATCAAAAGCCTATCTTAAAAGCAAAGATTAGAGAAGGCTGGCTTTTCTACTTCAGATAAATGAGGGCTTGACAATAAGATAGCTGTCTCCTTCTACATTAGAAAAATAAACACTGGGGATGGAACAAGAACTAAAGGTCAATACTGGCACAAACAGGCACAATGACAAACACACATTCAGCTTGTCATGAATACACTTAGACTGGAAATTAGAAATTTTATGACCATTACAGAAACCAGGCATCACGGCAGCTTTCTAACTGGAAGAATAAAGAAAAAACATTTTAAGCCAGAGTTTGACAAGTTTCTGGAGAGGATTTTATATGTTTTCCTACGAGAAGGTGGCACTAGAGCTGGTAAATGAAGTCCCTTCCAGTCCTACACTCTTATTTCCTTCAAAGTAATTGTGATGTCTTTGCCATGGTGATATTTACAAAACAAAGCTAGAGAAAATTAACTCAGTGGTTTATAAGCATTACAAATATCTGAAACCTCCAAGCTTTGACAAGCATGCACTCCACTAGTTGGAGAATGAGTCTCTCTAGTGTGAACTGATATTCTTATGGATGTGTTCTGGTTTCATACATCTTTAAAATGCAATTCTCAAGAAATCATTGAGCAAATTTGTTTAAACAATGATTGTTTAACCAATCTAAATATGCAACACCTAATGAGGATTACATATCAAAGTCAAGTCCCACATTTCAGGTCTTTTGCCATCAGGAAAAAAAAAAAAAAAGCTTTATTAGCTTTTAAATAGTATATTCTTCCTATCCACCCCCTAAATTCAAGCACAGAAGGGATTTTGTTCAAACTTTCAAAGAAAACCCAAACCACAATTGGATAAAGACCAGACATAGTCCGAAAGCTTAATGTTTCAGAAAGTAAGGAGTACATGGAAAAAAGGCATTAATGGAAACTGTTTTGGAACTTTAAGTACAGAGGATGATATCTAGTGACTGCTATAATACTGAATCTGCACTGCCATTAAACTTAATCTTCGATATTTTTATTGCAACCTGACCCACTATGACATCTCTAAAGAAAATTACATTGTACACTATTATTTCAAGAAGTCAAACTCAGCCAGTCATCCGGGCCATAAAATAGCAGGTTACTCCATCAGGCTGGCTAAAGCAGCTAGGAATAAAACTAGATTTACCAACCACATTATTTTTATTAGGAAATGTTTCAAAGCAGACATAATCCCAAAAGACCTTAGCCTCATTCCATCCAAAAATACACAACAGAGAGCAGCAAAAACATGAACTGCAGTATAAGGTACAATTTGTAAATGCGAGAAAAAAAATGCAAGATATGCTGTAATATATCATCCTATCAAAGCAAAATAAATTAATGGAACATAGAAATAGAAAAGAGTAAAAACTTATATACAATTCATGTATCAACAATTTAAACCTTTGTTATAAGATCTGACATGTATTAATAGGAAACGCTCCAGTGAATCCCTGCACATCAAGATTTAGTCTGTATGCCTTTTTGCTTTCTTTGAAATTACAGGCTAATATAGGTGTACTAAATCACAGCTAGAGAGCAAGACCTCCAGAACAGGCAAAAAGAAAAAAACAGTATCTTTAACAACAATATTCCTGAAGAACCCTAGTATGTTAATACTACATGCATTTTATTTTGGATCATAGCCACAGAACAGCTAAAGCACTGCTTCTTCTGTAATCATTCTCAATGTGAAGAACTGCTCATAATAGTAACAGAAAAAAAAGCAACGAATTTACTTGGCAATCTTAACACTTGTCAGTAATTCCTTGTACCGTGTTTTCTAACAGGTATTCATGCATACATAATATATGGGTCTTTGTAGATCTGGAATGAAGGATAAGTAAGAGATTTGATAGCTGGAAAGGCAAGTTTTAAATTTTAAATACTGCCAAAGTAGGTTAGATGTACGATGTGAGTTTTATCATCTAAGCAAGCATTCATGTCTTTCAGTTTTAAGCTTTTTTTTTTTCCTATGCAATATGATCACCTCAGGCAGTTTGGTTTAAAGGCTTCAGTCAATGTAAAAATATATTTAAATTAGCCAGGCGTTTGTTACTTTTTTTTTAAGACTCAAATACTGTCTCTGTTTTACAAAGGTGGTTCTATTATGCTAGCTGCATCAAACACAGAATATTAATCAGACTGTGAAGCTCCACTATTTATGTGACACATTTAAGTAACTTAAATTTTGTTAAGTGGCATGGCCACAGATACTGTATGCATAATCTGAGTTTCGAGTCATTTCCCTTTTCTTGTCTGATTTTATTCTACAGAGGAAATGACAGGGTCATTTGGAAATAACTGCAGTGAAAGATCAAAAAGGAAACCTGATTGAGAACACTCTATAATTGCCTGTGCTAGAGAAAAAAATAAAATCCAACGAGTTTGCAATCCATCGCTATAAGATTTCCCTGGAAAACACATACTGTGGTTTCTCTGAAAGGATATCCATTACCACACTAAGTACTGCTTTTATTTGTTGTAGCTGCATCTCTTTTAAAGAAGCAGGTCTTCTCATTAGGCTATTGTACTTTTATTCAGGAGGTAATACTTTTGGCACACGTGGAGCACAAATTTACTCACTGAGCTAAAGCAAGTCATTTCAGTTGAAGCAGATCATTTCAGTTGAAGCAAGTAATTTCACTGGCTTGTCTCAAAGTCTTCATTTGCAGAAGGAGATAATACTGTAATTAAGCTCTGGGAACGCCATGGTTCTTGTTATTTGGGCAAATCTGGCCATTACAATTTACAGTCCCCCATTCCAAAATAACAGATCTTTATCACTGGAGCTAAAAGAAAGCTTTTTAGACATTAGCAGCACTCAGTATAGAGTAAGGATCACATCCAGCTGTGGGCCACGTTGTGTCTACACAGGCTTTTTCTTTTTTCTTCAAGACATTGATCTACATAGCAAGACAACAGTCAGCCCTTCAGCACAGATTAATGTCTGCTTTCAGGATGCAAATTTCACAGTCGGTCTCCTGCCCCCTTCTGTTCCCTGAGCAGACGAACTGCAGAGCACTTAACCTCCTAGCATAACCATACACACCAAACCATGTCTGCCCCACTAACTCGTCAGGGTTTGAGCTGTTCATATAACGGACTGCAAACATAGAAAGTGACGGTCTCCTTCATGGCAAAGCACTTCTAATTATAACAAAGTTGTAACAAAAGAACTTGAAGTCTATGTTGGGTTCACCTCTCATCACATTCTAATACATAAAGCAAGTGCAAATAATGCCACAAATTTGTATGTGTAGCTTCAATGCCTTAAACTGTTACTTACTGAAGAACAATGCATCACCCTATCAAAATAAACTCTACAGGAATATAAGTATTGATTTTCTTAGGCATTGCAGTGGGGTTGGACAAATTAGAGACTCTCTGCCATGGAACTCAGAATACAAAACAGATGGATTAAAATGAACTGGGGCATAGGTAAGAAATGGCTGTAAGAGAGTTATGGCTAAAAATTGTCATGGAGGTTTTGTGACAGTTGTAACTGTAGTTTCTGTGATGGATCTTCATCAAAGTAATCCACAGAAACACATTTCTGACATTCCTTAGTGGAGGTGGCACCTTCAGCAGAGGTGGTAGCCCCTAGCAGACAGTCCATGCAGAGCAACCACTCTTCCGTGGGCTGGGACAGTGTCTGCTGAACTCAGCCATCCAGAAATGGGTTTTAAGAAAACAAAGACATTTCTTTTAAGCTAGTCTACAACTGATAAGATACATAACCCAAATTTACACAAAAAATTACTTAATCAAAGCCTCCATTAAAAATAATTTTACCAATTTGAAAGTGCTAACCAGCCATTGACCTGATTAGCTAATATAAAAAAGCAACTCTAACACTGTAATGCTGAAGCCCTGCTCTACTTACGTAGTGACAGTTTTGTCACCAATTCCATCATGGTTGGAATTTCAACCCACCTTGCAAATGATGAGAATAATTTCTAAATATTTGCATCCATGTCAAGAAAAGTCCTTTTTTTAATAATACGGCTAATTAAAAGCAACATGTCAAGAAATTATCCCACATCATTTACAGAGTGAAACCACCAGCTTAAAGTTTAAAGAAAATTTTCCAGCGCATTAAGTCTAACTTCACTGTGTACTGATAGGCTAAAATACAAGTGCCATCAAAAAAATTCCACTACCGTGCCTCTCTGAGCAACCAGTTGTCTCCTATTATAGATTCTAAATGTAAATACTTTTCAATGTATTGTAACATATATCCTTGAAATGCACAGTCAGCCCAAAGGAATGTTTATTTGATGAATTGAATCTGTCCACTTGATTAAAGGCCAAATTCTGCATCAATGCATTTTTCTGTGTATTTTTTCACATAAAAGTTAGAATACATGACAAAGTTTACAGTCAATCCAATTCACTATTATTAACCCAATGCTTTCAAAATGCTGAATTTCTAGCTAGCTTGTTTCTTTACAGTCAGTATAATTAACTGTTGGTGACTACAGTAGAAACAAAACTCAGTACACAGACATGCATACATAAATATTAGGATTGTGGTCAGACTAGGCTTGGTACACAGCCTTTTCTGATTTTGATTGCTGATTTTAAAATAGTCAGACTTATGCATTGCTAATTCAAATTACATGCATCAACTTATAAATACATACACAAAAGTATTTTTGATTTAACACAACTAACATCTTAACCAAGCAATTCATTTACACTTTTTTGAAATCCAAAATTAATTTTGAACACGAGGATCAAAACATCTAACTTGTATTCTCTAATCAGCCATTTTACATTAGTAATGCAGTAACATTGACATGGAGCTGCTTTGAGCAACATAAAACGTATGCCACAGTGCATTCATTAAATAACTCTGCATAATGAGTTCCATCTATATAAATGACTTACCTCATTACTTATCACAAGTTCTTCTCCAGGACTGTGGAAGAGGTATTCATATAGTTTATAGTGTTTAAATAAGCTAGAAAACAAGAGAATATAGTGCTATTACAGCTGTAAATCTCTGGAAAGGTAACAACATGAAAGATTCTGTTAAACTAAGAGTTACTCTCCAGCATGGTAATACTCCAAATTTTAAAAAGAAAAGGTTGTTTAACTTCAGGTACAATATGCAGAATATTTAGTTTATAGGATTTAATATCAGATGACCATAAAAATACAGTATGATATTTAAAAATATAACCCCTTTGTCCTTATGAAATTGAACTCTGAAAAGACAAAGTTCTACTCTGAAAAAAAAGTAATTCCTAAAGCACTTATCACCAGGATACTTATGCTTTTAATATCGGCAATAGTGGACAAGAAGGAAACAAAGCCAAATCAGCTTTCAGATTATGGGATGGGCTGCCAGTCCAGGGAGCAAGTTTTATCTTGGAACACCAAAGCAATAAAGAATGGAAGCATTTATTCTCTCAAGGTCAAGTTTCAAAATCAGTGTAGTATTTACTCTAAGAAAAACTAAAAAAACTAGATTGACACACTAGAGTTTTGTGTATTACAACAAAAGTAACTTTAAGTAGACTTTCTCAATGACCTAAAATACTTATCTTCCTTAAAACATATACAGCTTTCCTTTCACGTTTTAAATAATTTTCCTTGTTCCCTTTCCTAATGATCAATGATATGCCATTTGTTTAATCAAAGGTTTGGTTTGTCACAGTCCATCTGTTACAGTTACTTGTTCTCTTTAAAATCATGATACAGAACTTCTGGCTTCTGTCACGTCATTTTGACATATGATTTAAAACACAGCTCTGTGATTTCATGGCAAGTGCAGGCTGAAGAATGATTCCAAGAGTTTATCACACTCTTGCCTGATGCACCCATGAAAGATACAGCAATATTTGCAGAGAACTTCTGTAACTGTTTTCTGTGCTTTCTGGCTAAGAACAGGACACAGTTTCTTTCCTTAAGAGAGCCATCAACTGGGATGGCAATGCCTCTTTTCTTGGCACTTGCAAGGCCACATCTGCAATCCTGAGGCCTGCTGTGAGGAGGGTTTTGGTCTAGATGGCCTCCAGAAGTCCTTCCCAACCTCAGTTCCTCTATGGTTCTATGAAAAAACACAAGCAATTCTCTAGCTAATACTAAAGACACTGCTACAAGCTGCAGAGTATCATGCAAATGGTACAAAAACATGTTTAAAATACCGGTGCCTGGCCACACCACCGAACACAGGCTACTCTTTAAGACAGGGTGCTGCCCAAGGCTGTTGGAGAGCCAGCCCCTGCAGGTGCCACTCCGGCTGCAGCCCCACGGTGTTGAGGCTTTCCTTCCACCCAGCAGCTTTGCACCCCAGTGCGGCCGGCAGAAGGGCTCTACTGTCCAGCTGTGTGCAAAGCCAGAGGTTCTGTGGGGGGACGTAGGTGCCTGAAACACAATGCTGGCTCTGGGAGGTAACGGGAAGCTAGCTGTGGGACTCGATGCTCAGTACACACTATTTTAGATGACTGTCCTTCCCTGAACCACCACCAGCACTTACACACTGCTGCAAGCCACTGCCACAGTACCAGAGGTCCCACAAAATGCTGCAGACTAGGGATGATTTGCTCTAATTCAAGCAGTGCTAAAGTGCCAACTGATTCACACTAGCTGTTCTTCTAGCTCATGAAAGCAGCTCAGAATGAGAACAAAATGGCAGCACGGCCTGCCTCTCTTACACAACAACAGTACATCTTCCAGCAGTTAGTCAAATGCATCTGTGAAACTTTCAAGCACATTTCTACCCAAATGGGCACAGACATTTTTGCACATACGTACAGATGCATTTCCTAATTTGGTGAGAAGTATTACGACAGTCTCATTGAACATTTGGCTCTTTAAGTGCCATATAAAAGTTTTATTCTACAGTTACATTTAATTCCATCATTCAGTTACCACTAGTTAAAAACCAAATTTGTTTACCGACTTGCATAAGAAATTTGTCTACCACAAATTACAAGTACCCTTCCCCCAACCCAAAGCACATAGGCAATTAATTAAGTTATTACAATATTTGCCATTTCATTTGCAGTACATTTTTACTACAGAATGACACCAAAGAATTCCTGCAATGTTCTAGTGGAGATGCAGGAATTATGTTTAAGCAGACTTCAGGACTTAACCTGGAACTGACTCACACCAATTTATGAAAATACACGTGACCCCCCACACACATACCTATTATTTGGTAAAGTTCTAACAGGGATTATTTGAAAAAGACAAAAAATATTTTATGAACATCATGGACACACAAGAAATGAGATATCTTTCAAATCACACTGGAGGAACTTAACATTTCAAACTTTTTTTCTTTTATTTATTCCAGTGCCTTGGAAAGGAGATGGATTTACAGCACCTGAAAACCAGATCTTTCCCTTCCCCTCCAAATGTGTAATGATGTTCTTTATGGAATAAGTTACAGGTACAGATAATTTATAATATTCCCAAAAATAGAATCTATTACTTTTGGCATTGCTGAATTTTATTTATTTGTTTTTAAACAGAACCCTTGTTCAACCTGGCATCCTTAATCCTGTATCAAGGAAAGAATTCCTCCACTTAATACTCTTAAATCAAATCACATAAACTATACACCAGTATTTATTTTGAAACAACGGTGTAGTTTTCTTTCTTCTGTCAGGCATTATATAAAATGCTTTTTTGTTTGTATCTGTTGTGAACAACTAAAAGATTCTGTACTAATGTTTTTAGCAATTAATAGTTACTCTTGCAAGTAAGGTTATTAAGAATAGACCCTCTTATGATGTCATATGAGAATCTGAAGGTGATTAACAATGACATATTTCCCTAGCTCCACTGCTTCTTGAAAAAAAAAGTCAAGAGCTATGTTGATGTGTGTTTGTCCAAGGAGACAAGATAAAAAGATGATAACTGTCACCTTTCACCAAACCTGAAGGTGTCATTATAGTTGCTGCAGTTTGTGCCAATGTGGTTAAGCATTTGTCCCCATTTCTGTTATAAATCCCATGGGTTTATAGCTCATCCATAAAAATGTGATCTGAACTGAAACGTGTCATACCACCTTGAGAAGAAAAAAAGCAATAGGCCTATAATTTAAAATGAAACAAAAAAAAGTGAAGAACAAGAAAAAATCTTGAAGTAATACATTAATTTGAATTGTAATAAAACTCAGTCAATCTATTTCTGAGTTCATGAAGTTCAAAATACACCAGCATAAGAAGTGTGCTGATTCAGTCCTTATTTAAAAAAACAAATCAAATGACTGAAATAATGGATCCTATAAATGGGACACATGTGACACATTTCAGTGTGTGACTTTGCGACAGCACATACTTGTAATAAATTGAGCAGTTTGAACATACAACCACGTATTTGGTGGTGAAAATACCATTTTGCTGCAAAAGTCTTGTGGCTTGATTGTATTATCGCCCAGATAATACTTCGGTGGTTGTAGGATGGAGCACCTAATCTCTTGAATGAAATTCTTGCAACTGTGAAGGAATTGCTTACCAGTCAAGATCTCTTTCAGTGGATAATTTACACAAGAGCTATACACATGCTATTTGGAAAGAACATTTGTTCCAAATAAATATACAAAAGGCATAGACAGGAAGGGAGAAGTAAAAAAAGTTGAGTGAGACATTTTAAATGCCAAGTTTCCTTTTAGTTTAGGGCTAGTACTTGGCAGGACATTGGTTTGCCTTGACTACAGAAATTGGAGATTTAAAGAGATGTTCTCATTTCATATGGGAAGAACACTAAGTTTTTTATATTTTCCCTGAAAAAGAAACAAAAGGAAAAAATGAGAGAGAAGGAGAAAGAAACAAACTTTATAGTCCAATTGTTTAAGAAATCACTTGTGTTAGGTTTAAATCCCCAGTCTGAATCAGAGTACCCTAAACTGGAAGGCTATCAGCTGTCCTACTATTTTGTTTGTCTTCAAGAAGAAACACTTTTCTGCATCCAGGAAAACACTTTAAAAAACCCTCTTTGATGTATTACACTTTTCCTAGCAAAAGAACAGTCAGAAAATTACCAACAATTCTATGTACAGATCAGTTGATCTCACTCCCTTTTTATGCCCATCTGCAACAAAATCTCTCCCTCCAACCACCACTCAGGTCAGAAAATGGGCTGAAAGGTACAGATGTAGTACAGCATATGAGCATATATTACAACCTTTTCCATTCTCCATCTCCTTGACCCCAACATTCATGACTGATACAACAGCTTGAGAACCATTCTGTCTATCAGGTACTGGAAACAGTGATACATGAGTATAGCCACTGTCCTAACTATGGTGTTTCAGAGAAAGGTCTGTATGCGTTACTGTATAGTTAAGACTTTACGTGAAGACGTGTGATTGGCTGCTATCAGATCCTTATTTTTTTCTCAGATAAACAACTGAATAACTGCTGTTTGCATCTCTTTCTGTGTCTCTGTTTAAGAGCTGAAACCTGTCTTGAAACTTTTTCATGTAAATGCTGAACTTATGCTAAATTTGAAACGCAACATTTTTGTGACTCATGTGACCGTAGCCTTAATTCTGTAAGGTACATAACTTCAAACCACTTAAGAAGTCCACTACAGCTGTCAAGGCCAGACAAATACTTAAGGTTATAGACAAGATCAAGGATTTTGTTCAACTGGAATCTCAAAATAGAATGTTTTAACAGCAAACTGAGAATATTGTCTATACACTGCTCTCCCCTTTTCCTTTTATCACTCAAAACAAAACCCAGAAGGAAGCTTTTCAGCACAATCTTACATTTTAATAAACTTCCAGCCTAAATTTATCTCCTGAGCTTTGACATCTGAGGCCAGATCTTTACTGCCACTTGCATATTCTCTCTTCTTTTTCATGTTTTAAAGTTTGCTGCCTGCAGCATATTGTCACGGTATGAACATATCCAGTTAAATAATTTTAACTTATTATGTCAGCCAATTTCCTACCACATTAAATTATTCAAATAAGAAAGAATGGATCTTGTAGAAATAAATACCTGATATTCAAGTAATCAATGACGGCTTTGGCTTGCTCAATGCTGAAGGAATCCAAGTCACCACTTCTTTCTGAATCAGTTTCTCCTATTCCAGCCATTGCTTTTCCAAGTTCTTTTAAATTATCTCCTAAAGTCATACGTTTGTCTGCAAAGTAATCCCAAAGAACAAAAAGTAAGTATAAACGTGATAGGGTGGGGTGGGGTTTTTTGGCCCATTTTAATTTTAAGATTTCTTGAAGTTTAAGAAGTTACATTATGAGCCATGTAGAAATGCAAAAAGGAACAGCAGTCAAACATTTTTGTCTGTTGCCATTATTCTTATCAATAAAATGTACATTAAAATTCCATCACAAAATCACTGATCCACCTTCATAATGTAAGGATCACAATAATGGGTGTTTAAAATACTACAGCTTGGCCTCTTATTTGTGCAGAGATAACCACAAGCAGAATAAACTGTAAATTTGAGAAGCATAGTATGTTTATCTTTAAAATAAATTTACTACTGTTTATGTAAAAGATTGTTCTTCTGACCATGCCCCTTGCAATATAAACCAGTAATACAGGAACAGATGTTAAAAAGGGTAACCAATTTTTTAAAAGTGTCTACAGTCATAATTGATTAAACATGAATATGCATAATACTCTGCACGTATCATCAAACTTGGAGACATTTTTGCATCCCCCCAAAATAGATAATTACTTTACATTTTTACCTTGGATATCAAAACCAAATGTCAAAAGAGTTCTGAATTAAAATTCAGATCTTTTGTTAACTGTCTTGACAAAGAGGAAAATCTTAAACATATCAGTGCTCGATGAACCTACCTTTAAAAATAAAGGATTAATTTTTCTGATTTGGGTTCAGTATGTGCTGTCACTAGAACCATGGTGGCATTTAAAAAAAAGTTACAAACACAATTTACTTGTTCTTTTTAAGTCTAAAAAAATCTAGAGTACAAAATGGGAAATATCCACTGGTGGTGAACTAGATTTATTTTCCTTATTGTTTTAATTCTCTACTGATCTGCTCCTCGGTTCTTTGTACAGAAAGCAAATTAAAAAACTTACAAGATTCTAGTCTTTATAGTTTTGCCTTTTAGTGGTACAGTAATCAAAATCCTGAAAATTTCACCTCAGTTTTCAATAACAGAGGCATCACTATATGAATAACTGTAAGTGGAAGGAACAAGAAAGAAATACAGAGAATGTTGAGGAAATAGAACAGAATAGAATAGAAGCCACAGGAAATGAGAAAGAGCAATAGAATCAGAAATATCACAGTTAGTAGGGAAGTGAAGACACATAACAGATCATGAGCAGTCACAACACCTGGGCCCAGGTCTGTCACCAGCTAGTCCAAATTTTCTCTTTTCTCTGCACAACTGATTTTCAGCCCCAACTACCTCTCTCAGGAAGGCTCTCACAACACTTCTGTGGTACAGGGACCACTTTACCCTCAAAGTATACAAGATGAACCAAACCACATCAGTAATCATCCTGCCTCCCAAAAAGCCAAAACCTCCAGTTTTCCTCTCTCCTTCACCAGCCTTAAACGAGTTTCCACGACCCTTCTCTAAATCCATTCTTCCTGTTCCATGCCA